TGAAGGCATCAATGTTTAGGTTGTTCTTCAGATCCTTCTAAATCTTAAAACAGAGAATAACTGAAAAAAAATTGGTAGAGACACAACATCATAAAATTTCTGTTGGTAAACTGTGTAGTTTTCAGACACAACTGTGTTCTGACAGGTCCACTTCTGATCTTATTTGGAGTATCAAGGTTGTGTGGTGACTTCTCTGTTCACTGGATCTCATTTGTTCAGAGGCAGACAGTCTGGTCAGATGAACAGATGACCTTTTTGAACCTGTCAACAAAACACAGACACTTCTTCCCCTGAAGTTAATGTATTACACTAATCAAATGCTTTTAGGGCATCAATTCCCCCCATTAAAATAAAAAATAAAAATGAGATGTATTTCTGTCATACACATCAACATTAACATGAAACTATATACACAATGAATAAAAACCTATAGCAGTTAAAAATCAATCAAATCATAAACATTACTAATAACATATGTAATATAAAACTACTATTAACCAGTAAAACACTGCACCAGCATCCCATAGTTTGCAAACAAACAGAAAACAAAAAAATCAGTGAAGGATTGGATAACTGCCTCCGGAAATGATTCTCCAAGCCCGCTTCAAAATTGATCCAGCTGTCATATTAATAGGGTCAAATTGCTAAGTCAAAAAATGACTCAAAATCTGATTTGGTGCAAAAACATCTGGATCTGTTGGCAAACATTCAGTATAGGTAAAGTCAAGGCTTGGCCAGGGCCTTAAGGCTTTAAACTGGAAAGATGCCTTTTAACTCATTTTCAAAACAAGGTTCTCAATAGTAGCAGCTATGAGATGCTTGCAGCACAGCAAACTTAAAATGCATTTGTACAAAGCAAATGATCAGAAACCATAGATAGCAGACCAGTTAAACCATTGAGCATTTGGTTTAATCTGAAGCCTCTCCCATGGCAGCTGACCCTCAGCAATGATACATTTTCTTGGAATTCTGGAAACACTGAAAAATAATAAAGCTATAAAAAACAAAAACTGCAGAGATTGCAACAACCAATAGAACTCTCAATGAAATCAAGGATGTCACAGACTGCATTCACTTACATCCACATGCAGGTTCATCAGTGTTCTATCACAGCTGTTTCAGTTGTAGTCATCTTCATCTCTCTAGGAAAATAACTATACTTTGCAGTTTAAACAAGTGCCTCTAATAAAACATAGAACAATTTAAATTAAACAATATTTAAAGTTAATAAAAATTAATTATGACAAAAGGAAATAACAAAACTTAACCTCAAAAGAATATCCAAGTTATAAAACTTAACTTAAAAACACTCAAGCCTAAAAATAATGAAACTTGACTTTTCTTAATTCTATTAACATTTAATGTATATTGGATAAAAACATAACTTAATCTTATTCTGTTATTACAAAAAGGCAACCAAAAGTTTGATATATACCTTTTAAACACAATATAACAATAACATGGATTCACTATAAAGATTATAAAAATGTAACAAATACATCACAATTCTATGTCATTTGGCTTTAAAATAACTCACAATAATTGCAAATGCTATTAAAAATACTTATTCATAACAGGAATTTGCCTAGTATATGTTTAAAGTGGTTAGGATTTTAAAGTGTAGTTTTTCTAGAGAAAAACCACAGCAACACAGGATTTGGCAAGTTGCCATTCAGCTTCTGTAGCACTTTTCAGAAACATCAAGTCCAATTTTTTAACTAAAATCCAAAATCCAAATTAGTATATGTGCTGTTATATATGTTTTATATAACAAAAAGACTCACATTGAAATTACCTTATTAAAATTGTGGAAAAAACAAGCAAATTGGTAATATATGCTTTAACTTAACTTTGTCTTGTATAGTAAAGTTCTCTTAGCTATTTATTTTTTAAACCATAAATCTCTTTTGTAGATAACGTTAATTGAAAGGTTGTTTTCTTAGTAGCTGTAAATCATACAATGTTTTAACATTAGGCTTTAACACTAATTATTGCAAGGTAACTTCTGTTAGTATTCACTTTAAACACTTCTTTAAAAAAAGTGGCTTTTTGAACTTTCAAGGAATCACACTAATTTCTTTAGTAAAACTCTAAAAACTGCAACTGCATAAACTCATAATTACTTAAAACACAAAATTAACTCTAAAAGGGTATATAAAAACATTTAAAAAAAACCAATGAATCATGACTTTTTCACAAACTGGGTACTATCCCAGTGCTTTTTCTTAGAGAGGGAGAAGGGGGAGTTAACTGCCCACTTTGCTGCTGCTCTCTGCTGCTGTTATCTTCACATCCCCCACATACTCTCTCAGAGAGGAAAAATGGAGAGAAAGAAAAAAAAAAACTCACGAAGTTAACTTTAACATATGCAGTTCTTTCTCTCAATCTCTCTCGTTGTTCGCAGATAGAGGAAAAAGGGCACGATTTTACAAAAACAGGTGATGTTACATGAAAAGCCTCTCAGGGCCAGGTGGTAAAAATGGTGACCATTGCAGCTTATCAACTCTTAATTACAGTGATGAATTTTGAACTAGATACCATATAGTTCACTATTTTTTGGCTATTTTGTCTCTCTTTGAAGCTGTCTGAGCCACCTGTTTCTGCTCAACTGCTTCTGTAATTGTTCAGCGTGGCCTTGGAGCCTTTTCTGCACTGCCTCTGCCCTGGGGGTGCCTTTGTTCTCTGCGCACACCTCAGTGCTTTCTCCCATCGATGTGGCAGGAGGTGACTGCTGTGGCAAGTCCGTCTTGGGCCCAGCCATGGCTTCTAAAGCGGTGGCTGCGACCCTGGACTCAGACTTCTTATCTTTTAAGGTAGCCAACACAATTTTCCATATCGAACCGAGCGCTACTGCGACTTTACTCTTTTCTGTGATTGCTGTGTCCCACATCAAAGCCCTTATATCCGTCCATTTTTCAACTGCTTGCAGTGGGGGCACCGTTAAGCACCCATGATTTTTAGCCCATACAACGAGCTTTCCCAGGTCCTTTTCCTTGACTGCTTCACCTCATTTAACAGTAATGCTAAGAAGGAGTTTTTTAGCTGCCACAAACTCCACATCCATTTTTCGTGCAGCCACTGGGGGAGGGGCGCGACCCCTCACTTACTCCTCAACCTTTGGACTCCCCCAACGACCCGACACCTTTTTCACCGCACTCAGATCGTCTATCCAGTACCAATCCGAGGTAGCGTCTATCTGCGCTCAGATCCACTCCCACCAACCTTGGTCCAAGGCCCTGTCCCACCGTGCGTGGACCCATTGAAGTCCCCCTGCCCGCAGGGTCCCATTCGCGAGCCAGATATTGAGAGACGGCCAGCTATTCATGAGTCTTCACAGAAGTAAGAGTGAACACCGTTTATTTCTATCTTTAGCACACCTTTTACAGGGTTTTACAGGGTCTGCGGGCTAAGCAAGTTACTACTGGCTAATACACACAGGCTTACATTTTTTTCTCCTGTACACAAGAATATTGTTTTGCTTTATTCTCTCTCTTGCAGGAAAGTTTCAAGGACTTTAGGCTTTAATATCACTACTTATTCCAGAGGCTGGTTTGTGCGGACAGGCCTTTCATGCCCACCTTCTGTTAAAATATTATCTACATGACTCCAGCTCCTCCTGCCATGTGCTGGATTCAAATGGTTGAAGGTACCTGGATGAGCCCCCTTGTGAGTGGAAAAGCCACACTATGAAAAGCCAGTGTCTACAAAGGAGACAAAGGAGTCTTGCATCTTTATTCGAATAAAGAGAGAGAGTTCACTGGGGCTGTGAACTGTCTTCAGTTTTCTCTCAAGGTTTCAGAGGGCGCAGTCTCCTTTTATAAACTCCTGGCCACATGTTGTCCTCTTTCTTCCCCCTTGGCTGTGGTACTAGGAAGGTACAGCCTTCCCGAACTGCCTACCACATTTTTCCTCCTTAAACATGTCATTTTCCCCAAAGTTCAGAAACTTAGGCTTGTGCATGCCCATTTTTCTGTTTCAGGAGTCAAACTGGGCTCTGTAACAAACCTGTGGCTTGAAGTTGGTAGAGACATTCAGGAGTATTTCAAAGACATTAACACCCATACCCTCACCTGTGGAATTGTTCAGAAAGACATAGGATACATCTTTCCTATTATGTAGTCCAGTGGATAACTATGCAAGTATGAGTGGGCTATGCTGAAGCTTCTCTGCTTAGTAATCAAAAATTACTCTAAGCATGTTGGCTAATCTTGTAGCGACCCTTGCTTTAGAATGTGCTTGACAAAATGTATCCATGATAGATTATGAGGTAATAAAGAGGAAAGTAGTAAAAAAACACTGGCATCTACAAACTCGTTACAGGAGTATCATGAAGTGGGCAATATGTGGGTTTGGATTGTTTTGAAAAAAAAGAAGTTACTACTTCTTCTCATACTAGGAACTAATTTAAACTAGTATTCACAGATAGGAAATCCAAGAATAAACTACTACAGAAAAACACTTAATGATAAGTCTTTTAACCTGCAACAGTACTGAAGTATTTAGACTTAGAAAAACTTTTGAAATTATTTCATGTTCTCACTGATTACAGGCCATTATTTTTACTTCTTCCAAGGAAGGGTTCGTTTCTGCTAAATAAAGTATAGAACTAAATAGCGTGTAGTGCTTTGCCTCTCGGAGGGCTTAAATTGAGCTTCCTGCAGCGCAGCAGAAGTCCCTCTCATGGTTACGTAACGACAGGCCCACATTCCCCATTCTCGCTGGGAGACGCTCTCCTGACGCAGGAAAGCAGCACACGCACCGAAGAGCAAAAGCTACGCATGCCGCTGCCAAGGAAACACGGATTTTGAACGCAGTCAAGAAGCAGCGGACAAGGAAGGTTTAAACACGAGTGACTACTTCACAGTCCTGGTGGCCCGGCACCGCCGCTGTGTCCCAGCTGCCGGCACTCCATGGGCGGAGCAAGAAATGGGGGGCAGGCGGCGCCGTTCCCGCGGGCGGCGGGACTCACTCCTGCGCCACACACAGGCCGTTGCTCCTCGGTGACGTCAATGCGCCGCCGGGTGACGTATGGACGGCGGCGGGACGGGGGTGGGGAGGAGGCCTCGGCGGTGGCGGGGCCGGTGAGTCCCGCGGGCATGAGGGGTGCGGCGGCCCCGGCCCCGTGGCCGCCTGGGGTCTCGAGGTGCTGCCGTCGGCGGCTCCCGCTGGGCGCGGGCAGGGCAACGCGGGGCGGGCCGGGGGTGCGCCGCCGTATGGAGAAGGCGCCGGGCCCGTTTGGCGGGGAAGCGATTTCACCTGAAGTGCCTTTTTGTGGAGGCGAGGGAGGGGACGGCCGAACGGGCTGGGGTCGCCTCCCCTGGCGCCTCCCGAGCTGGGGGTCGGTGGCGGCCCGGGCTACCCCGGGCGCGACCTTGGGCACGTTGCCGGCTCCGGCCGCCCTCTGTAGTCCGCGCCAGCCTCCTGCCGCCCCCTCGTCCTGCCCCTGGCTGGCTTCTCAAGGCCCTGCTGTGGCCATCTAATCCGAATTTTATTTCTTAAAAAATATAAGTTCAGTGTTTTGAACTGTACTTCGCGGTACTCAAATTTTTTCCCTGATGCTTTGGTGTCGTAGTAGTTTAACCACTCTGCAATTTATGCACTACTGTGATTCATTGAAATTACTCTTAGAAGGCATATTTTCAGACTTTAAAATAAACAATTTGATGTTAACTTTTTAGCAATCTGCTGGTGATCCCGCTTGCTCTTTGCTCATGTTTTTAAAGTGCAGCACACAAACTTTCTTGAAGTCCTGTGCTAGAATCATTTAAGTGTTTATGTTTTAGGATTTAATTTGAGCCTGCTCACAAAGCAGATGTATTTGATGTGTCTTCTGTTATAAATGTGTAAATCTGGTGCTTGAACTGTTCTGTTGAGATATTTACTCAAATTTAACAAAAACCCCAAGTATTTTCATGAATGGCTGTCTTATATATTTTTATAACACAGGCCAACCTGATATCATGCACTATTTATAGGAAAGATACTTACAGATTACATTTTGATCCTCAAAATCCAGGAGACTTTCTTTGTCAAAAGCCTGGATCTGATTTGCAGAAGGATTAAGGTGTGGTTACTTTCTAGTTCGTGAGACTACCTAAAAATTTTTTTTCCTACCTTCTCCTTTGTTTTCTTAAGCATATCCCACAAAGAAAATTAGAGTGACCCTTATGAGTGAATTCATAGATCAAGGTATCATCTGTTTAGCAAATTAAATACAGGCTATTTTTCCTCCTGGCAGGTTTGATGGGAAGGTTAACAATAATTTATACTTGCTGAGAGAGACGTATTATGTTGGTTATGTATTTAAGCAAGTCAAACCTCTATATATTTCTCTCTTTCCTAACCCTTCAGTTTTGTTTTGGTTTCCTGTTTAAAAAAAGGTTTGCGCAATAGAAAGGTCTGCAGCTGCCTTAAATTTTGTAAAAAAAGCAACCACCAAAACCCAATCAGAACCCCCAAAACTTTAGCTAAGTAAGAGCACTTGGAAAATTTTGTCTGTGTAGGGAATAAAGCATGTGTGATTCAGTTTGTATAGACCTGGTTTAATTAGGACACCCTTGTGGGAAAATAGTGTTTTCAGGGATATTAATGCTGTAGCAGAAATGTCAGGATGGAATTTTTTGTCTTATAGTGAATATGGCAACATGTTACTGTCTTCTATGATGGTTAAAAATATGAATGGTTAAAATTAAATTATGATGACTCAAAATAGAAATACTGTTTTTGTGTTCTAATGTTTTTATAAGTTTTCCCATTAAATTGAAGGGTTTTTAAAGACTTAATTTCTGCAAAAAGTTGAATTGAGAAGTACACGTCTCTCTCACTTTGATCATAATGCTTTGTGGCTCATAGTTTCTGATGGCGTATGTTTCATGCATTGTTCCAGGAGATGGTCCATTTCTTGCTGTGCAGCTGGATGTTGCTGAATAACGTGTCTATGAGCTTGCTGTTCAATCTGTCTGTTGTTCAGAATGGCGAAGAACCCTAATTTCCCAGAAGTGGGGAATCTGCCTACAGGCTATGCTCACTGTAGGTCTTCAGACAGCTTCAGTGGTGAGTGGACCCAATGTGTTTTCTTGAGATTTTAATATTTTTGTTGTGTGCCATTTTAACCAGGTTAATTTTATAAATGTGTTAATAAATAATCTGCACTAAGTATATTGTTCTTAGTACTTGGCTAAACTTATTCCTTGTCTTTTGTGACAGGAAAGTGTCTGATTGGAATGTAAAATTTTAGCACTACAGTACTTAAGTGATGGGAATGTGTTTGCAGATGAGCAGGGCATAGCTTCCCATATACTTTGAGTCAAAACATTTTTTGGTACTAAATTGCTGTGTAGAATGCTGTGGTTGGGTGGTGTGCGTAGTTTCCATTAATGTTACCATCTGCTTTCCTTCTAATCCTTTCACAAAGGGTGGGTTGGAGATGCAACTTGAAAATTCTCTGAATTTCACTTAACCTGAGCTTTCATTTTTTGTAAATAGTCATAAGGGTTGATTATGTCGTTTCTAATTTTGGCTACAAAGTATCAAAAATTGTTTGGGGTTTTTTTTTTCTCCATTACAATTTTCATTTGGATTCAACTTTGTTATTGTTATTTAGAAGTACAAAGGAGCTACCTGCAGCTAGGGTTTTGACAACTGAAGTATTTACACTTTGAATGTTGAAGTATTTACAGAAAATTTCTGTTTCCTGTAACAGAATATCAGTCTCAAAGGTGAAGAGTTCAGAGTATTAAAGCCTGTGCTAAAAGCTTTCTGTCATAGAGTCCCGATGTTCTGAGCGGAAGCAGCAGCTTCTTTTCATATTCTTCTTTCTTCTTTCTGTTGTTCTTGTTCTGTTGTTGTCCTTCTTTTCCAATACAGGGGGATTTAATTCATAAATCATCCAATTAGCTAAAAACACAATTCTAAAACGTTCTTCTTACACCAACCTGGGCTTAATTCTAATGTATGAAAGTCATGTCAGTTCTTACTCAAGATCTGTGCATATATTGTATCTGTTTATGCAAATAATTTTATATGTTCTATCTAGAAATACAAGCAATGTTCTTACTATGTTTTTGTTATGTCTGGACCTAAGTTAATTTTGTAGAAGTTAACACTAGTGAACGTTAGGGCTTTTTACTAGCTAACATAATCTCTTAAGGCACTGAAGATATATTTCTACTTTCTTAAAACTAAAACTTACACTCCTACTTCAAGTCTGTGGCTTAATATATTTTAGTTTCTCTGAAGGTTTTAATTCAATCCTTTCATTCTTTTCTCTTTCTAAGGAACTCAGAGAGGCTTCTGTTTTGTGCATTCCAGCAATTTAGTATTCTTATTTTTCTTATATTTTATTTTCAATTTCTATTACTTTTTTTTCTAGTTTCATTTGAAGTTCTTTGCGACTGTGTTTCCACAGTATCTTGATTTTGGGTAAAGTGTTTCCATGTGTTAAAGTGCAAGTAATAATTAATCCCAAGTACAACTGTTTGGGGCTTTTTTACATATTTTCTGATAGTATCTTTACAGTATTTTATAGTAGAACCTAAAAGTGTATTTCTGTCATGATTTTGACTTGATTTATGTGTTAGATGTGTGCAAGGTATGGCCTTTTCTTTTTTCTTGTGGTACACTGTGACAGCTATAGCTGTCACTGACCATGACAGACAGTTTAGCTCATTAGGGAATTGAGAAAAACAAGCCCCCAGGTATGAAAGTGATTAGCTGAACTCAAACTCAAACAAGGAGACACCAGCCAATCCCTATGAATCATGGATGGATACATATCATTGGTCAAGTGAGCTAGGCGGTACTAAGATCACAGTCGTGTTTGTAAGTGCAGAAATTTGAAGCCCCTATATAAAGGATTGCCCTTCAATAAAGGTTGATAAAGGGCGTTGCTGCGTGATCTTGGTGTGTTTATGTCGCATTCCTGTCTCTATCATCAGCAGCAGTGTGCCACCTTTCTTTAGCACTTGAAAAGTGGCTAGTAACTGGAGCAGGGAAGATGTCTCTGGAGTTATGGATGGTCATTATCTGAAACAACCAACCTCTTTTTAAAGAAACGTAAACCGAAGTGTAATGGTAGAAGCCAATATAATACCTAAATTTGCTTTTGGATGCTCTTACCATTGAGACTATAGAAAACCTCTGTTACCAAAATAAACCAAATCCATAAAAAGCTAAAACCTGTTGTGAATGAAGAAAAACAAAAGAATTCCATAGAAGATACAACTAATGCATTTATCTGTTTTGTACATTAGTGGGCAATCACCTAATTTTATGACTGAGAGGTATTAAGGAGTTTGTTTTCTCATATATATATATATATATATATATAATATGAGGGAATAAGAAGTCATCAAGAAAACTGAGTGTAAGGAATAAGGAAATTGGATTGTACATTGTAAAGCTTTTCACTCTGACAGACTTTGTTATTTATTAAAAGTTACCCTGGTTGTTTATTTTCTCCCAATTCTGAAAAGTTGACTAGAATCCTGCAAAAACAGTTTTTACTTTTCACTGATTCTAGTACTGATTGGAGAGTTAAGACCAAGCTTAACTGCTCACATTGCTTATTTCTGTTTTTTGTGTGTGCATTTTTATTCAGAAAAAATTGCTTTCTAATAGTAACATGATGTAAAATAATTCAGTTTTTAATTCCCTTTGTTGGAAACTTTGTTTTAAGTAACAGGGTTGACTAACAAGGTGACAATTCTTTGAAATACTTAGCTAGAATTGTTGGTGCCAGCTGTGTTGAGTCTGGTTGAAAATGAACTTTCATAGAAAACCTCCTGATTTAATTTTTCTTGTAATATATGATTACTTAGATTAGTCACATTTTTGTTATTGTAGTTATGCTTGCTATTCTTAATATTTTTGCCCTGTGTAATACTGCTTGTTTTCTTTGTCCTTTAGGCTACCAGTATCACCATCCCTCCAAGATGAGTAACAGCCACCCTCTTCGTCCGTACACGGCTGTAGGGGAGATCGACCATGTTCACATTCTGTCAGAGCATATTGGTGCTCTAATGAATGGGGAAGAATACAGTGACGTTACCTTTATTGTGGAAAAAAAGCGTTTTCCGGCACACAGAGTGATCCTGGCTGCTAGATGCCATTATTTCAGGTGAAGTAAGGCTTTTTGTCAGGCTCACAGGAAATTTTTATGTAGATGAGATAAACATTGTTTCTCCATGAACTTTTCAGGGTGTAATCATCTGTCCATTGAGTGTGACCTTTTCTGTGTGAATGTTTCCCAGCACATCAAATCATTGTGTTCAAATAGAAAAAGATAAATACCATGTCACAGTGTTATTCTTTTGACCTTCATTAAATTGGATTTTGAAGGTAGTTTTGCAAATTCAAGAGAAAGAGAACTTGAGAACATGAAAGTACTACTGCAAAGCTGTTTTGATTTCTCAGAGTATAAATGGTGTGTTTCTATGGAATATACTCAGCAGGTTTCATTTTGATGGATTGGAATTGAGCAGAGGATTGGCTGACATAGACTAGAATATATATTTTAAAACTAGGAATAATACTAATCAAACTTTTTTTTTTAAGAGCTGGTCATTTTTCAATAGAAATACATTTAACATTTCAGTGAATTTTGTCAGAGGGATAAGCTACTAACTAAGCTAAACTCTCTTCCTTATAGAGCATTATTGTATGGAGGAATGAGAGAATCTCAGCCTGAAGCAGAAATTCCTCTTCAGGACACCACTGCAGAAGCATTTACCATGCTGTTGAAATATATTTACACTGGTCGTGCTACATTACGAGATGAGAAAGAAGAGGTTCTTCTTGACTTCCTAAGCCTAGCACATAAATACGGATTTCCAGAACTGGAGGATTCCACGTCTGAGTATCTTTGCACAATACTTAATGTTCAGAATGTCTGTATGACTTTTGATGTTGCCAGTCTTTATTCTCTTCCCAAATTAACTTTTATGTGCTGTATGTTCATGGATAGAAACGCCCAAGAGGTGCTCTCCAGCGAAGGCTTCCTGTCACTTTCTAAGGTATATCTTTTGTTTGCACTTTTTCCCCCAGGACTGTTAATTTCAATGGCAATACGATTTTGTGATGAAATACTAATGGGGGAACCAATTGAAAACTTGTGTTAGCTCATAGTTATCTTATACTTGTGAAACTGTGACAATTGGAAATGGTCAAGACAAGCTGAACTGAAAATTTTGGCAATCTGTTCTGAATTTTTTAGGTATTGACCAGTCAATATAGCTAAATATAGTATGTCTGATGGAGTGTTCTAAAAGATGGCATCAGTCAATCTAATTTTAATTTATCTTACTTCATCTGTTCCTGGTATAATGTAATTTGGCTTCTGAATGCTGCAGAGTCAAATATAGACTTGAATAGGACAGGATATGCTTTGTTCTAAGGATTCCTTGATATAGGCTTCATCAGTGATGGGTGAATTTCTGCTGGGCAAATGGAAGCATTCTGGAGCCTACTGTGATTTATGTTGCTGATTGTCATCATGTTCTGAATTTGCAGAATATGATGGTGTGGTAGGGTGTTTGGGGTTTTTCTTGTGTTGTTTTTTTTGTTAGATGCATAAATATTTGTGACTGAGTCAGACAGTTCTATGAAGTTGAAGTTTTGCACTTACTCTCAAGGGGTCTTTGGGCTGGACATAATAGTGAGTGTTTTCAAGTAGTGTTCACATGAAGCAGCAGAACACTTTGAGTGATGCTTTAATTGTTTTTTTTTTAAGTGTTTTTTCTTAGGGGAAAAGATGTGTAGGATCTATTCCTTGAATGAGTATATGACACTGCAGTAAGTTACTCCTTGTATAAGGAGAAAAAAAAAAAATTTCTCTCTCTGTACTTTGTCATGTTCAGCTTGTTAAGTCTGAGCTCTGAGAGCGTATTGTCAATAAAGAAACAAGCAAACATCATGCATCAGGAAGTGCACACTTGAAGGTCTTTGGCATAGCCAGTCTTGGTATATATGAGAGATCTTTCTTTTTTCTAGGCAAGCTCCTGCTAGCTTCTGCTAGCTAAGTGAAAATCAAAAAGCTATTTGATTATTTTTGTTCTCATTTTGCAGTCAGTGGGTTTTATACATAAGTAAGAGCCACTGGAGTTCTTAACTGGTGATTCGTAGTTGGTACCAAAAGACAGAGAAAGATTGTGACAGGACAGAAAACCCAAGTAGTTCGAAATGGTTAAAAGAAGTGATTCCAAGCAACACTTTTTTCTCATCAGTGCCCTTATAGCAACTTAAGTTTAAAGGAATATTTTGAAGCATACTACCAAGTCCCCAAATTTCTGGTAATTTTCCAAAGCAAATTTGAACTACTGAATGTTATTATATTGATTATATTGATGTCAATTTCTTCTAGTGATTTTGTTTTATTGTCTATTGTTTTGGTCATGGATTCTGTAATTCTTGCATAACTGGAATAAGCTATAATTTCAGGGAATCACCCCTTTAGAGATTATTTTTAATAGCTACAAGTTAAAATAGCCATTAATTTTTTTTGCCTTATTTAAATTTCCCTTGTTTAAAAAAATAAAATTCAATTTAATTTCTGTTTATTTAGGGGATATATTTTTTGTTCTTATTTCTCTTTTCCAGGCTGCTCTTCTAAGTATAGTACTGAGAGACTCATTTGCAGCTCCTGAAAAGGACATTTTCCAAGCTTTGATGAGCTGGTGTAAACATAACCCCAAGGAAAACCATGCTGAAATCATGCAAGCAGTACGTTTGCCACTAATGAGTTTAACAGAACTTCTGAATGTTGTAAGACCTTCTGGGTTGTTGTCACCTGATGCCATCCTAGATGCCATTAAGATTCGTTCTGAGAGTCGGGACATGGACCTCAACTACAGGGGCATGTTAAGTAAGCATGAAGTTCTTTGTTTCCTTCTCATTTAGTGACTGTGGTTATCTGGAGGATATGGTTAATTTGTGCTTTGTGTTTTCATCTATTACTGTGTGTTATAAAAGATTTGCAGTATGAAACATCTTGTTATGTAACTGTTCATGCCATTTTTATTTCTCGATATTAGACATTTATTTTCTTGCTTTGTATCTCAGATATTGTTCAAACATGAATGTAATACTATTTTCCTAGAGGAAGTGGTAATTGAATTGAAAATTTTTTACAAAATAATTGAAAATAAAAATGAATTGTCTGTGAGATATATGATATGTAAGTGGTTTTATGTTGATAGTGACTTGTTTCCTACTTCATAAACATTTTCGTAATTTTTCCACTACTACTTATGACTTTTCTCTTACTCTTTACATGCTTGTCTAAATAAGTCTCTGAAGTTGTTTTAATGGAAGCCTGTAAAGTGTAAGAAGCCTTGACTTTTTTTCTGTGATATCTGTTAATCCAACAAGAGTATCTAACACTCAAGCTTTAAAAAGATGTTAGCCATCTAATGTATGAATTTGACCCGCAGAAAAGTTAAATGTTCTTTAAGAGTCTGCACTATATGCTCAGTCATGCATGATGAGCCCTGAAAATTACTGCTATCTTAGAACCGCATAATCTCTTTGTTCTCTCTTAGAAGTTATAGTTATTAATATTTAAACATATGAATTTAATATTAGGATATTGTAGAATATGCAAGTCATGCAAGACATTCTCTTGACACTGGAGTAGATAAATTTAAATAAGTCAAATGGTCTTTTCTGGCTTTTTTCCCTGGATATTTATCTCCACAATAAAATTCTCATACTCACAGCTTTTTGGAGACTGGAATTTCTTTGTTGTTTTAGTACTCATTCAGGATCTTGAAACTTTTTCTATTTGTGAAAATGTTGATGACCATTTACCACTTCAAATTCTGTTCTTAAGATATCAAATTTTTAACACTGTCTTAAAATGCATACTTCTGTTGTCAATCTGCCTGAAAAGTTTGGGGTAGCTTTTCATCATTTAGTTTTCAAATCATATTTTCTTGGATCTCTCCTCAAACAAGACTGTTAAAAATGTCTTTTGAAGAGGCTAGTTTATAAAAAGTATTGTTCTGTAGTTGAAGTTAGGAATAATTATTCACAGTTAGTTTGAAGGAAGCTGTTCCTAGGACACAGGCTTATGGAAATGAAATGGTGAAATGGTGGCATATGAAACTTGCTTTTCCATGTGAGTTCAAAGCCCAAATAGTCAGAAGTTTCCCATTTCACTTAAGTTCATTTAGCTTTGCAGGGTACTGGAAGCTTGTATAGTTGACAAAGGAACATAAATGGCTTTACTGCAGTATACACCACTCTGCAAATTCAGCATGCATCTTGAACATTTGATACACATCTTGTACATTTAAGTTTCTTCCATTTGGGGGAAAATAAAACCCAAACCGAAAGCAAATAACAGTTGACAGATGTGACAGAATTCTGTAAAATTATGAAGGGGACTGAGAATATAGCTGCTACATAATAGTAAATTATCACAGCTTTATTACCATAAAATGTGTAGGAGATACCAAATGAAATTGAAGAAGCTAAATTTTTTTAATGCCTCTTTATCTTCTTTCCTTTTTTCTTTTTTTTTCCCCTAGAGCATGTGTTTGTGGCCAAGAAAGGATACTAGCAATAAATCTTTTGTCTAACCTAATAGAGTTTATATTCAGAACATCTAATATTCAGTATGAGAGTGTAAAATTTAAGCAATTATTTCCTTCTTAGTACCGGGGGAGAATATTGCAACAATGAAGTATGGAGCACAAGTTGTTAAAGGGGAGCTGAAGTCTGCTCTATTGGATGGAGATACTCAGAACTACGACCTGGATCATGGATTCTCTCGACACCCGATCAGCGATGACTGCCGGTCTGGAATTGAGATTAAATTAGGTCAGCCCTCAATAATCAACCACATACGAATTCTCCTGTGGGACAGAGACAGTCGGTAGGTGCCAAGGTGACATAAAAAGGCAAAGTAATGCATTTTGTCTGGAAATAATGTAGCAGTGCAAACTGTAAATTAAATACTTTATGGAAATAGCATGATCGTATTGGAGATGACAATTGCAAAGTTTATTTGGAAACAACCTGATTTTTAAATGCAATTTTGGTTACTTACACACCAGATCATATTTAGAGATGTTAAACTGCCTCAAAGTATTTAAATATTTTTACATATTTCCATTTCAAACATTAAAAGATATTTTTTGTTCTAATTTTTTCAATATACCAAAACTCTTAAGAAATGGGACACTTTGACAGCAAGATTGGACCTGATCTCAGAGGTCTTTTGCAGCCTAAGTGATTCTGTGATTCTGTAATTGAGGTAATAAAATTTATTCAAAATGTGAATTACCAACTGACTACAGTAGTTACTAGAAGCCACTTTGTGGTTAGACTGCCGAAATACGAATTGTAATAGATACTGTTGCCCATTGTTACTGACCTACTTTACATTATTATGGAATGTATGAAAATTAAAATTAGGCACATTTGAACAATTGAGAGGCTGCTGAAGTAGAAAAATTGCAAGGTTCTTTTTATCTGACAAATTTAATATATTAATTTTGTAACTTGCCATGACAAAGATCTTGCAGTTTAGTAGACAGCTCAGCAGGTACTCATAAGCTGTTAAAAACAATAAAACATGCTACTTACACATTTATTGTATACCTTATGACCTTTCTGGTAAAGGATTAATTTTATTTTATTTCTAAACTAACAGTTTAGCATTGCAGAACCAGTTACATTTTGCTTTTTTAGCTAAGCCATGTTATTCTAGAACAGGGTATATAAAAGTTTTAGTTAGAGTGGGGTTTTTTGTAAATTTAAATACATTTTTAAATATGAGTTAGTTACTAATAATTCAAAACCAATTTCATTAATTTTAGCTATTTTATTGTTCTAAGGAAATTCTACTTCAGTTTAACTGAAATTTATTTCCCTTCTATTTCTTTTGTAAAGATCAAAAAGTGGATCCTTGAAGGTATACGGACTGCTTCATATAATATTATACTAGTTGTGACAGAAGACCAACCAAATTTATGAAGCAGTTAGCAACTAACTTTATAAAATCTGAAAAAGTATTAGAGATATGTTAATAATGAGTCCTGTATCAATTTTTAGAGAACTTATATCAAAATGTAAAATGCCCCTCATCTGTAGGGCATAAATTTGCAGCTGGTAAAACTCAGGGAAAAATGTTCTTGTTGGGACAACTTTTTAAAAAGTTACCTGTTGCTTGGTGTCCTGTGCAATTCATCTGAAATTTGTAGAACAAACTAGTACTGCTGGCACAATATCTGACAATGTGGATCTCTAGAGATTTTTGTCTTCATAAAATACTGAGGGCAGAATGGTTTAAGATCTAGTTTCTGTGTCATGCTGAATTTTTTTTTTTTTTTTTTAATCATTCTAGTTTCTGTGGAAAATTTGCTATTGGGCTTTCTTTTGCTTCCCAACTGGTATGGTATTCGTATTAGTACTGTCTAGCCTATGCAAGGCCAGGAGTTGGACTTTGATCACCCTAGGGCTTTCCTTCTAATTCAGAATAGTCTGATTCTCTGTTCTACGAATTGTCAAGCTTTTTTCCCTTGAGTAACTCAGTTATCTTAGATAAATGGAAATGGAGGCATTTGGCTCATCAGTACAAGATACTGACTTTCTGGAGTGAGTTCAGCAGGACAACAAGATGAAGGCTTGAGCACATGAGAACCTGCTGTTGGTAAGGTGTGCAGGTTTAGAAGGGGAGAATATGTTGGCCTCAACACCTGTTCAGTGGAATATAGAGAATACAGGGACAGAATTCTCTTGCACCTGTGTGCTGAAAGTGCAAAGAGCAGTGGACACAAGCAAGAAGTTAAATTCATATTAAATATTAGGAAAACAATTTATAGTGAGGCAGTTGAACTTGGGAAGAGTGCCCAGAAAGGTGTGCAGAAATTTGCCAGCTAAGATCTTATGGAACTTCCTCTGAGATTGTCCTTGATTTCTGTAGAAATCTATTCCTTTCTACAGTCTTCGTCTAACAATTGCTGTCCACCAAACTGCATATTTTTCATGGGATATATGAATAATGTCTTCTAAAGAGGTGTTTTAATGCCTGTACAGACATGAGCAGGCTTGTACAGCATGATTGCTTTCTTGTTGAACAATTTTTTAAATTACTCTGTTCATTTCAACTGTTTATGTGAAGCTCTAGTCTATTGGATATTCTTAACAAAACCAAACGGAAACTAACAGGTGTCTTACACCTCTAGTTCAGGAGTGTTAACAGCTGAATCTTAGCTGTAAAAGTGCTAAGGACAGTAGCTATTCAACCTACTTCTGCAAATAAGATGCTATCCAGCCTTAAGAAACTTGAAAGGATACTATTGTGTATGATAATGGAACTTTATTTTTGAGGTAATATTTCTTTGCTTGGTATCTTAAGAAACCAAAAAGTAGCATGTTTTATATAGGTTACAAATATATGTTCATTAGTAATGATGGTGTGAGAACCTCTAAATTCACAAGGCACATAGGACTATCAGTAACTTTTGTATACAAACTGCTCAAACTCTAAAACTTTGGGCCTAGTTTGGTCAAGTACACATATGTTAGTAATAGTAATCTTGCTAAAGCATATTGTATTTGTGTGGGTTGTATTACACATCTGATTGGTGTGAATGTGAAAGCTGGTTATGCAATTGATGTTTAAAGACTCAGCCTTAGCTTTCCAAGGTAGTAACTATTGTTTTAAAGATTTTTAAACAATATCATTTTAAGTACATACTCTTAAGTCCTCAGGAAAATTGGAAATATTAACAAAGGCATTAATTTTAATAATAAATGCTTGTGTAGAACTCCCTAGGAGCAAATCCTCTTTAGAAATCAATGTGAAAGGATGTTAAGTGCTTACATGGTGCTGTTAAACTGCCTGTGAATTTTGCAGACCTTAGGAGAAAGAAAATACTCTGAAACGTATTCAATGACTTGCAGTTCTGCAAGTGAAATTTCTACTTTATTCTAAGTGTTACAGTCATGGATATAATAGGGAATTAGCTGTGACTTTCAAGTTCTGGTTTGGGTTTGCTTTCTTTTAACAGCAAACTATAAGGTAAACATGACTAATAAGCAGGAGGAAGACACAGATTCTGTTAATGGCTTTTTTATTTTTCATGAGGTAATTTTGGAATATGTAAGGAAGTAGTGACAGGCTCAGTGATGTATCATAAAGAACTGAAAGGGTCAGAAGTGAAAAACAACATCAGTGAAAATTATCATAAAATAAATTTGCATTTTTCAAGTAAGGAGTTTGAATTTGCATTTTTGATCTAGGAAATTGTTTTTAATTTTTTCTTTATTGATTTGGCAATAGAAATAGTACCATATCACTAGTGGTTTAGTTTTATTCCATGGGGAAGGAATACAAATGATAATTTTATGACAAAAGTCAAATGTCTCCATTTCATTTTTTGAGGCATAGTAGTCTCATCTAATGACTGTAGATTGTGAGTGTGTGGATGTTTTAAATCATTCTGAAAATACATCTTAACTGTGAGAGTTTCTTTTCAAAGCTAGTTTGAAGGTAGGGATCTTTATAAGAACAGTTTTCTTTTCAACACAACTGAAAATCCAGAAGACAGTGTAAAATTGTCAACTTGTATTCTAACTGGTATTTTTTGACAATCCATAGGTCTTATTCCTACTACATTGAGGTGTCCATGGATGAATTGGACTGGATTCGGGTTATCGATCACTCTAAATACCTCTGCCGGTCCTGGCAGAACCTGTATTTTCCTGCCCGTGTCTGCAGGTTAGTTCATCAGTGTAATATACAGTAGCTAACACTGAAGAATGTTGGCACCAGAATAAGTTGCTGGATTTTGCTACTTCATTATGTATTTCTGAAAATGTATGGTGTCTTAACTTTCATCAGCTATGCTAAAAATATAGTTTATCTTAATTTATAGAGCTTTGTAATAGTTTATCTTATTCTTTTCTGATATTAATGTAGTTGATACAATGTAGGCATCCGGTTTGAAAATTCTGTTTTTTGTGTATCTATGTATCTCCTTCTCCTTTCTTTTCTTTGTTTTTTTTTGAGTCATACACACCTTTTTTGCAGGTGATGCAGGGGTTTTTTCACTCGGTAGTAAAACTCATTCCTTGACTGCCTAAATGTTTATAATGCACTTACTATAGAACGTGAAAATATATTTTTAAGTATTATATATTTTCTACTGATGCACTGTTTTAAATAGTTATGAAAGGCAGAAAGGGGAGAGTTAGGACTACAGAGCTTTGAGGAATGTCTCTGATGTTCAGTTTTGGGTGCCACAATATAGGAAGGATATTAAACTTTCATAGAGGGTCTAAAGGAGGGCAATGAAGATGATGAAAGGCCTTGAGAGGAAGCCGATTGACAAGCAGCTAAGGCCTGTTCAGCCTGGAGGAGACTGAGAGGAGACCCCATTGCAGTTACACCTTTGTGAGGGGAAGAGGAGGGGCAGGCACTGATCTCTTCTCTGTGGTACCCAGTGACAGGATCTGAGAGGATGACCTGGAGTTGTGTCAGGGGAGAGTGGATATTACGAAGAGGTTCTTCACTCAGAGCGTGGTTGTCGCACTGTATTAAGAATGGCGAAGCAGTACGACATGACTCTCGTTGCTGCATTGTCCAAGAGAGCAAAGTTTATTATTCTTGATCTTCTTTTATAGGCAGGTTTGAGAAAGTCTGAGAGATAAAACTCTCATTGGTCATTAAAGCAACACATCACCATCATTGGTTAAGTGGAACACCACCCCTTGACTGTTCCTTGCAAGTAAATCCTAAACAACACCTGCAAAGATTGTTGTCCTTTACCAAGGACTGTTTGGATTCTTTCTGATGCTTTCTCAGGCCAGAGTGAGAAGTCTGTGTGTCTTAGTTTCACATAGGCTCTGTTCCCTGCTTGCTTTTTGCATTTAGTATCCACAGGTCATTGGGTATTGGAACAGACTCCTCAGGGAAGTGGTCACAGCACCAATCTGACAGAGTTCAAGAGGCATTTGGACAATACTCTTCGGCACAAGGTATCACTCTTAGGGACGGTGCTGTTCAGGGCCAGGACAGGGACCTTGATGATCCTTGTGGGTCCCTTCAACATCAGTGTATTCTGAGATTCTGCCACTCTGAGAAAATGGCTAGATGGGTTTAAGTGATGTTAAAATTACGATGCTTTTTAACTGTAGGTATCGGGAATTCTGCAAGAAGCTGATAATCACATTGAAGCAGTCTTATTCAGAAACTGAATTGAACTCATTGATAGGGAGGATACAACCTATATATACCGAAGATGCTGTCATAATTAGGTTTTGGGTCATAGACCCTGAGAGGAAATGACCTGTATTTTAATAACTATTCTGTAGACATAAACTTTTTAATTGGCACAGCAACTCTCAGAATCCCCATGGAGAGAAGTGCTTTCTTTTTCCCAAAGAAATCCTGGCTTTTTCTGTAAATCTCTATTCCTCATTATCATATCCACAAAATGGTAGGGAATTTCTTGGAGGTGCAGCTTATTTGAAGGGCAAGTGGAAGAGCTAAAGAGAAAATCATGTAGCAGCATAAGTTTATGAGCACTGAGTGTTAAGGAGCAGTAACCTTAAAGCAAAATATGAGTTCTCAGCTGAGTCACCATAATAATTAAGGAGAGTTTAGGTAAGGTTGCTCAGTAATCTTTATTACATCAATGATTTGAAGCCTACATTATAGTAAGAATGCATTTGCTAGTCAAAAATGGCTATTATTTACTGTTCTTTTATGTATTTGTTCCCCTGTCCATAGGAAGACGAGGCTATTTAAAATGTAATTAGAGCTGTAAAATTGCTGACAAATTTTTGAGGAGTTCCACTTTAAACTTTTTATTTAATTATATTAATATAAATAGGTATTACTTGAAATTGCCTTTCCTTTGATCAGGAATTTTGATCAAACTCTCTAGAAGAGAGGCCTTGAGCAGGAGAGGCTATGTACATATAGATATTAGTATTAGAAATTTTATCGGTCTTTTAATTAATATTCTGTTCAGAAAGAAGTAAGCAAGGACTACTAAGCCTTTCCTTTGTCTCCAGTTTCCATGTTTTGTTATTTTAAGTAGTTCTGTTTACTTAAATGAGTTAGTTATATCTGGTATACTAACATACACAAAACAGAACTCCTAATACATGTGGAGTTTTCTTGTTACCTAAAAAGATGTGTTCTCCAGTCTTGTGAGCACAGATTTAAAATATGAGCTAATATGAGATTGTCAGAATGTATTCTTTCAATATTTGATATTCTGTTTCACAGACATGTTGTACATGCTTATCAATGGGCAGATAAGTTTTAAGCATTTTATAGGCTCTGTTTTGCTCAATGCTACTTCTGCTGTAAAGTCTTGTTTTAGTGTCAGAAGTCCCAGTGCCAAAATTTTCCTGTTAATGGACAACAGTACAGAGGAGTGGAAGCATCATATTAATATTCTGTCTAATATTAGTTTTGGCATTTTACTCTTTTTGTCTTATTAATGCAGATAATATTTTTGGAAGCAACCACTTAGGGAAACATGCTTCAACTTTTAAAAAGTTTTGAATGCATTTTTAGTAGATAGTCATGGATTGAGAGCTTTATCAGAAAGGGCTTCAGACAGGTGGTGGTTTGGGTTTTTTGCTATTAAAAAAAAATAAATTATTTTAGCTCAAAGTGCTTTATGAGGTCACTGTGTAAGATGTCATTTTAAGGAGCAAGAAAGATTTGAAGAGTAGAATTATTGGCTGGGATTTTTTTGTTTGTGTGCATTTTTCCAGAGTGAGGTAGTAGAACATGCCAGATTCTGCACAGGTTGTTGAAGGACAGCCAGTTGTCTGATACACTAGAGCAATTGTTCAAACATAGATTATAAATAGGATATGAGCCCTGTGACATTAGGCAATGTCAGTTGCCTTTTTGAGTTACATTTTGCATAAATAGTAGTTTTAAAAGGTGAGAGCTGTCAATGTCTGAACTGATACGTTCCTCTAAGTTTTAAGAAGCTACTTAAACATTTCTATGGACATAAAAATTGATGGAGTGTGTCTTTTATTTGGGTTGGGGTTTTTGTCTTTTTGAAAACCTGTAACCTTCCTCTTAATCAAATCTGTCCATGTTCAATTCTACAATCAATGCCTTTTTTACTGGATGAAAACTCTTTAGAGGGAAGATAGGACGCAGGTTAATGTAATCAGCTTCCTGTGGAAGTTAGGAATAAGTGTCAGGTTCATAGTTATTCCATCTTCCTCTGGTAGCAATGAATGTTAAAACTGCTAGAGGTCTTTGAGCAGGTAATGCTGTTCTCTGTTTTATCCTTCCCACTGTTTTATCCTTTCATGTTGGAAAGGTCACAGAATTTTGTTTTGTGACTTCATCTTTTTACTTTGTCCTCAACCACAATATTTGAAGAACTGCATTAAAAGCAAGAAAATGAAAAATTTTGAGGTTTCATAATAAGGCAAATGTAGCCACAAGGTGTCACTACAATAAAAGTTTAAAAGACCTACTTTCTTACTGTTTGCAATCCTTTGATGAAAGTATTATTCCTGCTGTGTGTTATTTTTGTGTATTAAACTTCCCAGATTTACAAAATCATTCTGGTTTCCTGTTTATGCTATAGAGGGAGCAAGTACAGATTTAGTCGATAAAAACAGATGGAAACTTTCAATTTATTTTCCATCTTTAGTCTGACACTGAATGATTCTGTGTTTTGACTGGGGGAGTACTTCCCTGACCAGACCAATTTATAGTCTGAAATCAGTGCTATTTTGTCAGTAATACCAAAATTCAAAAATGTATTAAAAGAGTAAAGAGATCAGTTTTTGTCTGTATTTGCTATTATTGTCTTAGCTCTTTTTGTGATTATAATAATGTGATTTATCGAAAGGAAATATTAGTTATTACTGCATAAACATTTGGTCCTGAAGTATGTTTCTATTAAGAGAATGGATAGATGCCTGTAGAATCATGCTGGGAAATTATTTAAGCATATTCTTTTTTCTGTTCTTTAAATCTGCTTTGAGCTGAAAAATCTTGAGATTTTCTAATACTGGTGTGTTGAATTAATAGTGATATAAGGGCTCCATGTTTCCCTTAAAGGACTTGGCTGCTATAGAAAATGTGGCATTAGAATTATTTTTACTGTAGAAGGCGTGTTTGTATTTCAAATTTATTTATTGGTGCAGAGAAAATTACTTGCCTTTCCTTATATTAAGCATTGATGTTATTGGGTGTTTTTTTTGTTTAGTGCTTCAACAGTTCCTGCTACTAATGATTACACCATTTGTAATCCTCTGCCTGAGTGATGACAAATTAAATTGTAGACCATGTCTTCTGAACATTGAAAAATGCAAGAAGAGTAAATTTTTCGGTACTAAGGCAGTTCTGTTCAGAACTTAGAAATGTTAGGAATTGTGCACAATTATTTTGCGTGTAATGATATGCAAGAAGATGTGATTTTCAAGTGTAGGCTAGACAAAACATTTTTCTTTAATTCTAGTCTTAATCAGGCAGCCTCAGATAACTGTGCTTTCTACTGGTGGTGCTGCAGTCATTTTATTTTTCTTTCTCTCTGGGAGAGTCATTGAAATTAGCTACAGATTAAGCAGTAGTGTCTCACTTTCAGCCTTATCAGTAAGTCTCTGACAACGTTATCTGATATGGATAGCCATTTAGCAGTTTTCCTGAGATTGGTGGAATCTTAGGTGGATAGTAACTTGGCAGGAGACATTCCAAATACAGTTTGATTTAAGCAGATGTTGAAA